TCTAGCCCTGCTCGCCAGAAAGACCCCCCCCTTCGCTACAACCCATATCTGAGCAAAAGCTTGTCGAGGAGCGAGGGGAAGAAGGGAGTACTCGGTAGAACCATATTAATATATTTTGGTCTTCCCGCGACCGCCGAAGGCGATACCGCCGAATTTCACTACCGCCAGGTACAAACCGCCATATTTGGCAGTACCGGGAACCGGCAAAGGCGGTACCGCCCAAAAACTAAGTACCGTAATCATCGGGGTCTCGGCACATTTCGGGGTCTTGGCGCAGGGTGTGCGGAAAAATAGCGGGTTCCGAATGATTTGCTAGATTATCGCACAGGTATCGTCGTCTCCGCACACTGTGCGGAAACGCCGATGTGTGCGGTGAGGTTTGGCGTATGTGATACCCGTGCACCAGCATCTTGTGCTGGAAATTCCGGATACTGTGGGAGCTTGAATCACGTGCTTCACTGCTACTGCTGCCCTTGGCACCATAACGATGTTCAAAAATGTGGTATTTGTACTCTTTGTTCTCTTATTTTCGTTCTGAAGAATCAAGATCGGCAAATCGGCAAACGGCATCCACTCAACAATTCTAAACGCAGATGAAACCAAAAACGAAGTAAAAAATCACACCAAACTACCAGTACGAGCTACCAACGTCTTCTACTGTACTTCCTAGGCGGGTTGAACTCTACTTCGTGCCCGCGCCCCTACCATCGCAAAAACATCAAATCTCACTGGCAATCCCAAAGATCTATGATTCAAAGTTCGACTACTTCTCCTTCGGCGCCCCCGCCCCCTGCCCCTCCACGACTTCCACGTCGCTGTCGCCCTCCAAGACCTCCACCTCGCTGTCGCTCTCATCAACGACGTAGGGCAGCAGCTTCCCCTCGACCTCCTTGTGAGCAGCCGTGATGGGGTTGGAGTCGAACCCCCCTGGTACCTTCGGCAGCTTGAGCGGCGGGAGAGTCACGTCGGGGTGCTCAGCGAGCCACACGGCGTGCTGCTTCTCGAGAAGGTCGCGGTAGTTTCCCCGATGTTGTGCTCGCACCAGGCGTGGTCTTCGCTGCCGTCGAGCGCGAGCGTGAGACCGCAGATCTTGAAGCAAGTCTTCACCGTCTCGGGGGTGATGGACTCCCACGCTTCCTTGCACCACGTAGAGACGACCCCACGCTCCGGTGGCTTCAGCTTCCCCGGCCGGGCGTCTGCGACCGCCGACGCGCTGTAGGCGGTGTGCTTGCCCCGCAGCAGCCGCTTCATCTGCTTGTTGAGCATGCGGTCGAGCGGTTGGAGCAAGGGCGTCAACCCGCCTGGGATGAAGATGACGATGGTGTTGGCGTCTCTCTTGAGGGCGGCGATGAAACCCTCGTCCTTGTGGCACTTGAAGTCGTCCAGCACCAGGATGCACGGGCGCTGCTGGACGATGCTGCCATGTTGGGACGGAGCTTCCAGCTGCCCGAGATCCACCCGTTGCACTCCCGCTGGTCACTCCAGCTCTTCTCCTGCACGCCGAAGGACATGCCAGACCGTACACAGAGTGCAAGGGGTAGGGTTCGAAAGGGTGGCCGTGTGGATTTCCTCTAGAGGGTTCTTCGCCCAGGGTCAGGGGTATACCGCCGTGTCCACGGGGAAAACTCTAGACGGCCTGTTCCTAGTGTTACCAGACGATGTCTTGCAGGACAGAGAGTTAGCAAGAGAGTTCCTCAAGGAGGCGTTCCAACCGCCCATCGATGCCATCAACGCTCTAGCCGACATGCGACAAAAGGCACCGGCCACTGTTACGGTTAACGTGAGGGGTAGGGGAGTTGCGTACGCTACGCTGTGGGACGAAAGACGGTCATACTACGCCCCAGACGGGTGGGCGGGTGTGTGGCCTGGAGTTCTGTACAACGGTTTAGGTGGGGCAACACGTGTCGAGGGGGAGTATGCACTTGCTGAACGGTCGAACAATTATTCACCTTGTGCAATAGAAGGAGAGGAGAGGCACACCGGTGTGTGACGAAGCACATAATAAGGAACTCCTCGAAAGGGGGAACATGACGCTGCTGCGGACAAACTGCCTTTGAGTACATGCGAGCAACACGGCACTCCTGTGACGCACACTGCACGACGCTCGGAACCCCGTTAGTCTAAGTGCCTTCGAGCGAAGCGAGTCACACAACACTGTGACCGCACACTGCACCGCGCCCGAAACCTCGCCAATTGCCTTCGAGCGAAGCGAGTCACACGGCACTGTAACCGCACACTGCACCGCGTCCGGAACCCCGTGAAGTGTGTCTGCGAGCGAAGCGAGTTACGATGCCACTTTGTCTTACTCCAAAACCATTACACAAACAACAACACACCAAACCAGGCTACGA